AACTTAACTACACTTCCTACATGTTACATTTTAATTAAGGTAATAACTCATAGGCTGTTATAAGTAGTAAAGAAGATAATGTATGTAAGGAACCAAAAATAGTGTCTGATACATTACAGACCAAAAATAGTATCTGGTACATTACAAGCAATCTTTAAGTGTTAACCATTATTCTTAATACTTTTATTATCATAGAGAAATGTTTTTCTCTCATCAAATCACAAATGAAGAATTAGATAAACATCTCACAGCACAACATCTGACCCTCAACTGTAATTTAGGATTATAGATCTTTAACCATTTATCAATTTTATAAATTTATACTAACAAATGTGAAGTCGTTTTTATTTTATCTTCATGTTTCAAAGCATGAAGTCATTGTAATCATTAACCATTACTTGATTTTCTTTTGTATTGGATTTTTGTTTTGATAATTTCCCCAGTTTAAATTTATACAAAATTCAGCATAAATAACACCTGCCTCTGCACTCTATTTCTTTGCACAAATCAGATTAACACTTCAGGCTACTATGATTATGTCTACATGAATACTCATTTTCCATTTATGAGACCAGCAACTTATGTCCTGTCAATCAAAAGGAACACCCGTGATGATTTGTGTTTCCTTCTTATTTTGGCAAAACTCAGGAGGGTTTACATCCAGTCCCTAATTTCTCTCCCCTTCTTTTCTGTTGAACTCACCCTAATCAGGCTTCCTTCCCCACCACTTCAGGAAAACTGCCCTTATCAGGTCACCAAGGACCACCAAGCTTCTCAATCCAAAAGCTCATCATTCTCACCTTACTTGGCATCTGCAGCATTTAACACAGCTGACCACTCCCTCCTCTTTTAAATTCTTGGTTTCTAGGAGTCACTATTCTTGATTGTTCTCTTTATCCAACATTCATTCAACAAATATTTATTGAGCATCTATATGCCAGGCGCCATTTGAGATGCTGAAAACGTGTTACCTCACTTGCTGTTTCTTCCTCCTGTATCCACTTCTTCCTCCTGACCTTTTAACAGCGAATAATCAAAAGCTCCAACCTTGGACTCATTGGTGATATTAACCAGTATATATGCAATCTACATGTTTGTAGCACCCAAAGTTTTCCCTACAGCCTGGATTTCTCCCCTATAAATTCAGACTCATCTGGCCAACTGCCTACTTTATCTCTCTACTTAAATATCTAAGAGGCTCTTAAATTAACAAGTCTGAAAACTGTTTCCCTCCCTTCAATCTGTCCCTCCAGATTTATCCACCCCTGTAAGTGGCAATTCCATTCTAATTGCTAGGGCCAAACCATTTGGAGTCATCCTTGATGCTCCTCTTTCCTTCACAGTCCAAATCCAATCCATCAGGAAACCTGTTGACTCTACATTTCTAAGATATTCAACTTCCTCTCAACACTTCCACCACCAGCGCCCTAGTTAAGGCCTATACCCTTCCTTTCTCACCTACATTACTGCAATAGCCTCCTTATTGTTCTTCCTGTTTTTGCTCTTTTCCCCTTTTCAAGTGATTCTTAAAACATGAGTCGGAATGGTCTTTCTGAAGTGTTATGTCAGATTATATCATTTCTCTACGTAGCATTTCACTCAAAATAAAAGCCATGGCCTTGCCATGACCCATAAGGTTCTACAGGATCTAGTTTCCTGTCCTCAGGTTTCTGATCTCATCCTGACCTCATCTCCTACTACTTTCCTCCTCACTCGCTTCACTGCACCCACACTGGCCCCTTGCAGCTCCTCAAACATGCTCCTGCCTTTGCGGCTCTGCATTTGCCTTTCCTTCCACTGGGAATATTCCTTCCTGGATATGCACATGGTTCCCTTCCTTACCTCCTTCAGGTCTTTTTTATTACCTTCTCAGAGAGGCCTTCCATGTCCACCCTATCTAAATTATAAGTGACCCCAAATTGCCACCAACTCCCAGAACTGACTCCCTATCCTCTTTTCCTCTAAAGCATTTACCCCTATGCCATGCTTAGCATTTGTCTATTTTGTTCACTGCTGCATCCCCCAAACTTAGAATAGCACTTGGCACATAGTGCTCAATAAACATTTGTTGCATGGACTGAAAGAACAGAGGCCAGCATAATGAAGAAAGATGAACAACAGATCTCATCTAAGTAAAGAGAGCTAACACAGCCCTTCCACCCTCCCTCCCACTCTTTTGCAAACAAAGATCCTAGGACAGCTGAAATGCCAAAAAATCTAAATTTCATAGACTTTAATCTCATATCTCTCCACATTAACTCAACATGTGTCATTATCATATTCTGTAGCCTCATAAAACAGAAACATCTTTATGTATGTTTATTTGTAATCCTATTACATTTAACCCAATAATAAATAGTATTAATTAAAGTCCAAATGTAACTCTAGGTAGCACCTTATTTTCACACCTTATAGATTCACAAACTGCGCTTAACACTAATCAAATATGTGGATATCAATCCATAAACATATTAAATATATATAATTAGGGTAATCTTTTATACAGTATAGTTCTAACTTTTCATGTGTGTTCTTCAGTGGTTTTTTTTCCCCCATTCCATTTAAACACAGATTTGACCTGCTCAAATTCAATAAGCAACTGATTGAGGCTTAAGAGTTAGCATTTTCAGCACAATTTCATTACATTTAAGAGACATAAACAGTATCTGGAATTTTGTATTTTTTCTCTCCTACTCATTTTTACAAAATAAGGTAAAAAAAAAAAAAAACAGAAGCTGTACTACTATGACAATGTTGACTACACTGAACTGTGTAACAAACTTGACAAGCACCCAACTTAGCTGATGCAAAAAGTCCAAATTCAACATTCCAAAGGCAGTTTAGGGGAATTAGTGGTATAATATACAAAAGTATGTATTGTTTTAAAATCAAACAGATACCAAAGTCAGCATGAAATTATCTATTACTTGAATTACTGAAATGCCTGCTTCCAGTTCCCCTGCTTTCCTACTATCAATGTAGCCAATGCCATGGCTCTATGATCAAGCATGTCCTTGATAATGCTCAGGAACTGTTAATGTCTTTATTTAACCTCTTTAACTTCATTATATCATATAAACATTATCATTGGGCTAACCCCATGAGGTACACTTTATTGTTACTATTTTAAACTTTATGTAACTTGCCCAAGTTCACACAGCTACCACAGGATGGAGCAGGGCCCAAACTCATTCTCAAGCAAGCAGTAGGAAGCATAGCATCAGTACTCAACAAATGGGAGTAATTATCAAATGTTACTACCCACTTACTTAAATTTTTGTATTATTCACAGGACATTTTAAATCTATTATTACAATATAATCTGACAGAAGTAAAACAATCATGTAAGGATCATTTGTGTATTGTCTAACAGAAATATTACAATTTGCAACCTGTTCATATATCCCTGAAGTTCCAAATTCTCAAATAAGAAATTGGGATTTGAATTTATTTGAATTTTTTAGCAACAAGAAAAAACTCACAAATGAACTTTTCACCAGATGATTATCCTCTACATTCTCTAAACTTCTTAAAACTCTATTAATTTAAAACTCTAATCTAAGTTATGTTGCTTTCATATTAAAATAAGAAATGGCCAATTCTAGTGAAATATTTGAGTTGAAGTAAACAAAATTATCTAAAACCACGTCATGATCATTAAGTACATAAAAAGAAATTTCTGCTGCTTCTTCCTTGAAGGAAGCTGAGGCATTATTAGGAAGTCCCTAACATTTATGAGATAGGTTGTAAAACAGCCAAAGCTTTTTACTCATGAATTATCATTCTGGCCAGAAGTAAAAGATCATTACTTTGACATGACAAGAATAACTTTTAAAAACCAGGATTTCACAAAGAGTTTTCACATATTTTCGCCTATTGATGACTCTAAGAACTGTGAGACAGAATGAACAAAAATAATTATTCTTATTTTCACAACTGGAAACTTAAGCTACAAGGTTTGGTACCAGTTCTATCTTAAAATCATAAAGCTAGCAGTTCTATCTTCAAACCATCTGCTCCTTTCACTCTTTCCAAGTCATCTCTTTTGCACGGACCACAGTTATGTACCAGGCCAACTGCTCCCAGACAACAGACAGCCTGGGTTCAGGGACCAAGGCAGCTGAGACTGTCCTGGAAAAATGGCAAAAAGAGGAGGAGAGGAGACTAAGATAGCCTATGACTCCCTCAATGATCTGTTTTTAGGAGACCGATACTCGCTTGAGCAGGGTTCCCATCCAGGAGGCTCAAGTGAGTTTTCCAAGGTGTGCCTTGGCTTCCTAGTCCCCCTGACACCTGCCACTACCTATAACTTAGGTCTCCACCCGCCGCAACCAGGGACAGAATATCTCGGCTCCTCTCCCAGCCTAAACGAGGGAGGACTTTGCTTCATCTGCCGCAACTTACCTGGCGGGTCATGAGAGATTTTATTTTTTGCATGTCGAAATCGTGAGAGGTGTATGCTGCCGCAAAAAGCTAACAAATCTTACCGAACCACCAGACAGCTAGCCCAGAAACAGGGAAGCCATAGTGGATGGTCACGTGGAGCAGTCGACCCGGGTCATCTTTTTTCGCCCTATGCATGCTGGGAACTGTAGTCTTCTGGCTGCCGCTGGCCCTTGCAATAAAAAGAAGAGGCCAGTACAGGTACTACAATTCCCACCGAGCAAAACAGCGGCGCTTCAGTTAAGCCCTCAAAGTTAGTTGCTCAGCGTGGCCACGGCGATCGCCGGTCTTCACAGAGGTGCTTGCCGTAGGTAGCTCTGTTCTGCTAGGCGGAAACCTACGTCCTGGGTGATCAGGCATTGAGCGAAGGACCAAAGACTGCCAAGAAAATATACAAAAGTATATATTGTTTTAAACCATACTGACATGATTCCTGCCAAGGAGCCTGACAAGAAAACCCCACCTGGTCTAGAGGGGCGGCGTGGGAGAGCGTGAGACTGGCGCAGAGAAGGAACTCAAGAAAGGGCAGTCTCTCGGAGAGGTGACCTGAAAAGTTGGGACTCCACAGGTGGCGCTGGGTTTGGTCTGAGGAAAGGTGTGGTTCAGGCTGCCCAATAGGCGGCCTCCCAGTGTTAGAACTGTTCTTCCTCAGTTTTAGCATCCCCTGCAAAAGCCCTAAAAATCAAAGAATTTTGACCCTCACCTTTCATTTTACTACTTGCGTAGCCTAAGTCAAGACAGAAAATAAGGCAGTAATAATGAGTACACATATCACTATAAAGTTCAGTTAAATTCGGAAACGTAATAAGGGAGTCTCTGGGGGCTTAATTTAAAAAGGACTTTCCAATTATGAGACTACCAGGAAAAAAGCGGCCCCAACGCTAACAGTAGCTAGTATTTGTTGAAAGCTTACTACATGTCAGGAACTCTGCTAATAGCTTTACATGTGTGATCTCATTTATCCACATTTATCCAAGCATCCTATGGGGTTATTACTATTATCCCCATTTTAAAGAGGATGAAACAGCTACGGAGAAAATGGAGAAAGACGTTAAGGACTTCCAAGTGGCCTCCCTCCACTGGCCAGGTCCAAGAGAGGGCTCACAGGAGGTGAGGGATGTTGCCAGATGATTGATATGCGTGATTGTCAGGTGTTCTTTGTTTTCCTGCAGTTCCTTCCCCTTATTGGTCCCTGGCTTCTCCACCCCTAGGAACCGCCCTCCTGGCCTGTATGCTGCCACCTGTAGATTTGATCCCTGCCTAACAAACTATATTTTTAATTCAACATACCTTGACACTATATAAAATAATTGGGCATGATACAATGATACATGACACATTTTTAACTCCCTAAACTAAAAAAACAAAACAAAAAACTTAGAGCCCTAAAGAACACTTTTTGAAAGGCAAAGCATGTTGTTTCCATGTTTCAAATATATATATATATATATATAAGATTTGTTTAGTTAGGACTTTCACATTTTCCTGAGAGCTATTTAGAGTGTAAGCACAACTTGTGGAAAGTTTGGAAGGCCTGACAAAAAATCTTGAGGAGGACTTGCTGGTTGGTAGTGCTTGGTAAACAAGTGCCAGCCCCATTTTTGCAGATTGGAACATCACAGCCAAAAGCATCATCAGATTGTCAACAGAGAAGATCACTGCATGGAAAAGGCTCTACTCTTTGTCTTCTTGAGGGTTAAGTAAATTGATCTGATGCATGGCAATAAGCACTAGCAGTAAAGTAGGATCAGGGTATATTTCTAATGTCCCAAACAGGAGGAGCCTCTGGAAGCTTAAATAAAAGCTGAGATCCTGGTTTGATTAGGAAGATATATTTATCACCCTATACACAATAAACCAGTGGAGAAATGTAGCCCCTCCAGGATGATGTAACTACATTTCTTGAGCAGGCAGTAGCAGAAAACAGAACACTTGCTAAAATTAAAGCAGTGACCTAGAGAGGCATCCAAGAAGGAAAACATTGCTCCATAATCATTGATCAGCTATATAATATAGATCTAGGCTTCTGGGAGGTGGCATTGCAGACTTTACTAGGTAAGAGTAAACATTAGCACAGACATGGGTATATGTAATAGCTCCTCTGGCAGCCAGCTCTTCCTTGTAAACTGTACTCTTTCCTGGGATCTAATTACAACAATAAGAAAACTCTTCCCCCTGTTCTTAGTCCCAACAGTTTTACGTTGGCCTCTCCTTTTTACCGCCTCTCCTTCCCAATTGCTTCTGCCACTGCAAAATACTTATATGTTACCCCTGATTAAAGAATGTGGATGTTTGAAATTCATATAGCAGATGTTTGCTGTATAAAGCAAGATGAGTCTTACTTAGGATTTAAATAAACTAGACTGTAAACTGTGACTTGAGAGGTAATAAGAAAGCCCTGTTCCCTAACACACGTACACACACACACACACACACCTACACCTGCACAGGAGAGTGTGCCCATATGCGATTGTAAATGCATGCACACGTACACACACTATCCCAGTGGATCCTTGCATTGTTTGCAGTTTAATTACCATGGATATAGATTGTTTTAGGTTAATCAGCCCTTTCATTTTAAATGCAAACATAACTAAGATTAGTAAACAGGCTACAGGCCCTTTTTTCCTGCACGGCATGGTAGAACAGAGCTTTTCAGTGTGTTACAGGTGTGATGTGAAATACTGATAGTGGGAAATTTCTTACAGTGATAAAACACTTTAAACATTTTTAAGAATCATGTAAAAATTGACAACAGTTGAAGTTAAATTTGAACATTTGATTTCCTGTGTAAACATCTTGAATTCAGAAATTACTCCAGCCGGTAAGAGTTTATACCTACAACTTACCACTAGAGGGCGCTTTGTCATGGTTATGCCACATAGCTCTTCCCTGGATGTGTCATAAAGGTATTGTCATTTTTTAAGGTGTGCTGTGAGATAAAAAGATAATCACAAATAAAATTCATTTTAACATTTAATTTATTTATGTAGCATCTACTATCACCTTATGTCATAAAAGAAGAGATATTTTTAAATACAAGAAAAGACATAGGAAAAAAAATCTCAAAAAACTCTGTAAAATTTAGTACTTTTAACATTAGGAAAAACACACTACATTGTCATTTCTCTCACTTGCCAAAGACCCACAGACTTCATCATAAGCCAGCACTGGGCTGAAAAACACTGGGAAGATCTTTTTAATAAAGGCAATTGGAGATTAATATTGATCTAAAAGGTGTTAGGGGAGTCTATGTGATATCTGTAGAACTTCCATTTTATTTTGTAAATTGTATTTTGTGAAATCCAATATTAAAATTTATTTGAATTTATTAAACACCAACTGAGATTCAGGAGCCATGGGCCAAGGACCATTTGGAGTTTGTTTTTGGAAGAACAGCTTAACAAAAGTACTAGTTAAGCACTAGCTAGATGCTAAAGATCCATGAATGAATAAGACTATTCTCTGTATTTGGAGCTCAAAGGAAAAATAAACATCCAATAAAATTAATTGAGATTAATGAGATAAGTGCTGCAATAGATGTACAATATTTAGAGAAAGCACGGAGAAAATTGTGGTGTAGTTATTAGCTAGGGGAAGGGAGGAAGCTCTTGCCATTTTTCTGAAGCATGGAGAGATCTTAAAGTGACTGACCTCTGAAAAGGATTCAAGTTTCCCAAAGATCACTTACTTTCTTTACCTATAGAAGTCCTCCTAGATACTCTTTAATGTAAAGAGTATTTCCAAACTTGGATTCCAAAATAACTATCATCCCTTTGGGGCTTTTAGTTTTGCTTGAGGAATATTCTTCCTTCCCTTCTCATCATTGAACTTCTTTAGTGGGCCTTTACTGTTAAAACTGATTTATTCAAGGAATTTTACTTGCTTTGATGCAGATTTGGTTATAAACTTTCCATTTTATATAGTGGAAGCCTTGGACCAGAGCGTTCTTGCAAATGGGGGTTAACTTATAACTTAATAAATTAAGCGGAAGTGCTTAGACTGCCTGCTACCATGACAATAGAGAGGCCAGGCTGAAAAACACCACAGTAGAGGCAAGATCTCTGCATCATTGGTTCTCCTGCTCTGTGCTTCAGCTGTGAAAATGTGGCCTCAGATATTATCATTGGCATAGGCTTTTTATTATAATTATACATGGGCCATGCTTCAGCCCTACTTGGAAACACACCTGTGATTTGCTTTTAAAAATAGGATGAATCCAAAGATTCAATAAAACCCTAGCAGTCATTTAAAATAGGAAACACTGCATAGAAAAACACACTTTTATTCATTTGATTCACTGGTAGAATTTTTACATGTTAGTGACTTCATAAAGATTTATAACTTTAGCAGATGCAGAAACTGCTTTAATTTTCATAGAAAACTTTTTTTTTAATTCAAAATAATGTCATAGTTTTGCATGATAGGAAACCAGCTTTTGTTTTTAAGGAAATTTCACAATATAATCTCATTAGCAAAGCATGCTGTCTTTCAATAAAGTCATCCAAAAAATTTTTTTCCTTCATTTGATTTTTAGTAACTAAGAATAATTTATAAAATATACAGACAATTATTAATAGTTGCTAAGAAACTGTTCTGAAAGTCATAAGCCTGTATCCTTGCAAAGCATATAACAGGTGTTCCCACTCCCTGTGTCCTTTGTATACACATTCATTCTGTATTCAAATCACAGAAGCAAGAGTCAGGATAGGGTCTGTTACCTCACTGCTAATTTCCCTAGCAAATAAACCAGCAGCTGCTGGTCCATGTACCAAGTTACCACAGAGAACAGGGCACTGTATGCATGGGACAGGATGCTTTCATGGAGCCCTTCAGCAGCATGGTTGCAGTCTTTCATTGCAAAATATACCTCCTTCTCTTAGGTAAGGCTCTGCGTGAATTATGTCTTAGCTGTTTGTTGTTTTGGGGTATTTTTTTATTGTGGATATAAGGTAAATATTTGCTTCAGGCTGTAGATTCACTCAGATAATTGAAGAGCAGGTCAGAATCTTTTTACAATAACACTGTTCCAGCAAAGAAGCAGGAACATTTAGGAGAAATGAGGCTCAATAAATAGATTGCTATTGTTTCCTTAGAATAACAATTATTGTCAGTAACACTCATTAAGAAAGTTAAGACATTCTAAAAAATCTAATCAATATCTTCTTTTTAGAGTTGACATGTAGGTTCAATAGTCTTTAATGCATTTATTTTGGCAAATATTCTAATAGGCCATGAAACTGTGACCACTTAGAGTGAAAACTCAAAACAGTTTATGAAAATGGTTTTCTTTTTAGTTAAAAATATTGCTACAAACTGTTGACTCTGCTTCATTTTAAATTATCCATATCATCTTATGAAATATGGAAAAAGGTCAGGTTCCAAACTGACAAAACAAAATTTTGTACACAAAAGGGAGAAATGTGTTAGAAAGGATTATTTCTCCAAAATGCCTTTAGCTTTTCTCTTTGTTCAATAGCTAGTAGTCCTGTAAAATTTTTTTAGCTATACCTTAATATTTTTTTCCTCATTCTCCTCTCTATCCTTAGAGTTTAAAGAAGTCTGTCTGCAACACTCCCACTATTTTTATTCTGTCGACATTATTTTCACCAAATGTTCTCTTTCCATTCCTCCTCATTATTGGTTTTAAAAGTCAACTTAGTTTCTTGTTTTGTTTATATTCAACAGATAGGAATTTTCAAAAAAAGCTATATTCCTTAAATTTTAAGAATAACTTACATATATAAGCAATTTGTGTTAGACTTCTTCAGTTACTTAGAGTTTTACTTTCACTTGCATATTTTGTTACAGTTTTCATTGAAAATGGGATTGTTTTTCAAATCTAAACTTAATGTACATAGCCCATATATTTGAAATGTACAGTTTATAAATTTCTTAAAAGTCTTTGAGTCCCATAGTTGTGATTCTTCAGTTGTTTACAGTGTTTATATTACCAAATTCAAACAAAAAAATAGATTTTTATTTTTAGAAATTTTTTGAAAAATTAAATGCTATGACTGTCTCTTCATCTTTGTTCATTTTTCTTGGTTTTGAAAGTATCCTGTGTAAGTACTTATTTTTAATTTTAAAACTTTAGGACTGTTGTGATT